ATCTAATTCTATGATTTCATATATCGTAGATTTTCCGAGAAGATCATGATAAATATATGCGATCGATAATCTGATAGATCATATATCTTCCGATCCGATAAGCTCATCTATTATATGATTTATATATCTTTATTGATGAAATTAGATATTAGATATTTGCTCCACTACGATGAAAAATATCTTTTGAAAGATTATAATATGTTATCTGCTAATTCTACGAATTCATTCATTCGAATTCAATTTTTAATGAAATCAGAAGGGAGGCATTCCAAATCCTATCCTTTCAAGATTATAATATCTTATCCCAATTTCTGGGAATTTAATTCTAATTCTATAGAAAATCATATTTAATTTTCGCCAATCAAGATTTTCAAATTTGGCAGCGGATATCCGATATATCTAGAAAATCATTTTCGAATCAGATCGCATGCGATCTATATAAATATACGCATAATATAATATATTCTAGATTGGCATAGTATAGATAGATTGGGAAATTATCTTAATAATACGATATCACGTAATATTTCATCATATGAATAGCTTGCTTCGGCAATTTCTTATTATAATACGATTCTCAATTTTCAGAAGTATCCTCCCCCTTCGCACCGCAAATTCGCCGCCCCGTCGCGCGCCGCCACTGCCACCTAGACCCGCCGCCTGCCCCTCCCGCGCCGCTGGCAACCTGTCGTCCTGCGACCTCCCTTCCCCGCCTCCACGGATTCGAGTCTGCCTAATAGATTGCTTCAGAAATCTTAGCGGCTTTGTATTTAATTAAGATCCATTTACCCGGGTCCCGCTTTTCCAAAATATCGAGAAATTTCATAAAAATATATTATTTCTACAGAAGATCCAGCGGCTTCATACTTAATCGAGACCGATCTTCGGAGGAAATCCGTAATATTTTATTTATTCCAAATTATTCAATTTTCTATCATTTTCTTAATCATAGAAGTCATAATCAAATAGAATATATAGAAGGCTATTAATTTTCCTTCTTCTATAAAATGTAAATATTATAAAAATCATGGTGCCGAGAAAAATAGATTTGAGATATAAAAAAGAATAGTACTAATTCTATCTCCCCTTATCAAAACCTCTCAAAATGTATTAGTGGCTTCATTTTAGGACTTGCCATCCTCCATCAGATCCGTAATACGCGTAGGTTGAAGTGTATCTTCAATATCTATCCTTCCTAGTAGTGGGCGGGGGAAACGTTCAATGGGTCGTAGGAGAACGTAGGGTTTAGTTAGGATTTCGTTGAAGATACCCCTCGCCAGATCTTCTATGTCAATCATATTTAGAAATAAATATCTTAGTACAGCTTCTTTATATCTTAGATGGCAAGTGGCCGCCGAATGTTGTTTCTGTCTAGATTTGCTAACGCAATGCTAGCGTCAACCTAGAATATATTTTGCCTCGTGATTTCGAATTTTTAACACGCTGCCAGTATATATCTGGAATATGTCATTCAATTGTCTTCCTCTGGGGCTAGAAAGGTTTTGAGATTATTCCTTCAGGTGCGGATTTCCTCCTTTCCCCAAGCCATGCCCTCGACGCCAGCTACCCTACCCTACAAGCCGAAAGGCTAATTTTTCGCACGCAAGCGTCCTCAGCTCATACCACGTAACCGTTACCATAGGCCTTGTGATCAAAGGAATACCTAGCGCCACGCTAGCGCTATCCTAGCGCCNNGCCTACATGGGGGAGAGCCCGAAACCTGCATATAGGGGTGGTGCCGCCTTGTAGCGAAGACTAAACCGGCAAGAGCGGAACCTCGTATCGCACTTTTTTCATATTTTACATAGATGGTATTTTGACGTCCGCCCATATATATCTCGCTTTCTGCAAATAATTCGTATAAATGAAAGAATGTCAAATATGATATTAAAAAATAGTTTCATATTCTTGAGAACTCCTCAATCCACATATTGTGGAAATAGGATTGCAATCGCAACAATGAAGATATACCTACGCTAGTTTTTCTTGCAGAGATTGCAACTCATAATTTCCAGAGATCGGCGGCCCAGAAGAAATATATGTGTGTACATATATATACTATTGACGTCACGATCCCCAGAAATAGCCGCCGAATTTTGGAAATCGCAACAACGTCATTGGAAAATCATGAACAGTGTAAGGTTACCGGGATGGCATCCGGGGTTTATGGGGTCTGAAATTCTTAAGCTGCAGAAAGCTGCAAACCCTAACCGAATGTTTCAGCTAAGTCCTAGTACTCAAGGCGCTTTATGGCCTTGTCCATGTTGTAAACATAGGCGGGCATCACCTTGGCAGCATTTTTTTTGTGGCTTTGTGCAGCTGCGCAGTTCTGCGGCACTGAACAATACAAGCATTACAGTTGTAACCCTTGGCAGAACTACTCCTCCTAGTGCTAGCACTCCAGATGTGCATCAGCTTTCGGTCACTAAGCTACCTTGCCCACGGAACCACGTAAAGAGATTTATGAACGTGAGCACGTGAGTTTCTTAGGTCAACACATTGCATTGAAAAAGGAAAGCCGCAAAGTCCCAAACTCCAGCTGCCAGGGGTCACTCATGCAGGCTCCATTATATAGGGATTACATAAGGATAATATTGGCATGATCTTATTTAAAAGAATAATCAAAAATAAAATGGAAACGACTACAATTTATTTCAAAAAGCCTCAATCTCCATTTGGCAGCCACTTGGGTCTTTGTCAAAATAGCCCCCTATAATCCCAAATGAGGACCCCTATAGATCCCTTGTATCCCCGCCTTTGCCTCTGGTTACCTAAGGACCCATTTTTGGGAAAAAAGCCCACATAAAGCCGAGAGGCATGATCCAGTGCAGACTGCGCCACAGAGATCTCCTGGGTTGCTGTAAAGGAACTTATCTGAAGTTACTATAATATGGAAACCCTGTTATTTCGTATAATGTGGCTATATAGGGTTTAGGGTTCAAGTTTAGGGTTTAGGGTCACTATAGCAATAAGGAAGCCCTATCACTGACTACTCTGATATGGTAACATAATCTAAATTCATCAACAGCAACCCAGTCTCGGGAAGCTCCCGTGTGAAGTCGTCAAGTCGTTCAGTCAGGTCGACGGCAAGAATCTGGCGACCTATGCATTTGGCTGCTTTTTTTTTTGTTTTGCAGGGATCGATCCAGGGCCCGGAGTCTAGGTCGGGCTAGTTTACAGAAAACCATTACATGTCAATACATGTCCATAGTGCTCCCATACTGCTACCATTGGCCCCGCCTTTTGCCTGCCTGCAATGGGCTTGCAAGGGGGATTTCGGCTCTTGCTTCCTTTCAAGATTCGTTGGGGCGATCGAGGGCTGTGTAGGGATTGTGTGCGAGCAATGTTGAGTATGAGGCTTGAAATCCAAGACTGGAATCCTTTCCTAAACCGAAAACCCTAAATCCCTCAGCCACAAATACCTAAACGCCCACCTGCCACAGCATCCACCAGCCAAACTGCGCTGCCTGGGCAGGCTTAGGGTTCTTGAGTCTTGTGGCTCTCACAACCCGAGCATGGCTTAACACAACATACCCTTACATACTCCCGGGGTCAGGGTTTAGGGTTCAGGGTTTACGGGTTTGGGGTTTACCATTGGTATTAAGGATTATGAGGGGCTAGGCTAGGAGGTCACTCTGTAAGGATGTAAGGATGAGATTCAGAAACTCACCCATTTTCACATAGAGAACGCTAGCAGAGTCTGGGGATTCTAAGATTTGTAGTCTGGGCCCATAATATAGGGCCCTTAGGCCTTTATTTAGGGGGATTCTAGTCACCCTAAACCATATACCCCTGAAGGTACATGTGGGGTGTATCCATGGTTTCAACCCTTTCAGGGATTTTTTTTTTTTTTTTAAATGGCATTCCTATCAATGCTAGCCTTGTGACCATAAATCCAACAAGTCGAGCTGCCTCTTCATGACTGCTACTACTATTATTGCCATTGCTGCTAATTTTACTATGATTCCTGTTATTACGATTATTCCTATTATTACGATTGATTCTATTCTTACTACTCTTCCTATTATTACTACTACATTTATTACTACCATGTTTGAGTCTAGCGGCCTGGTATCCTGAGCGGAGCAATGGCGGCATCGGGGAGATCAGCCAACAGGTCTTTGAAAGCAGGGCTGGACTTGTCACTGCTGCCAATCACCTTTCCCCGCATGCCACGTATGCGATCACACTGGCACAGTCAAAGTCTGTGCATACTATCGAAGAAAACGCATTCAAGCCGCCCCATTCTGTTTAGGACCTTGGGCAGTCCAATTTGTACAATCTCAATCCTGTATGCAGGCGCAGCAGTTGAATTTATCATCAGGGGGCCCGGACTCTGAGACAGACACGTGGACTGGAAGGCTTCATTTGCGCGTGCTTTGTTGAAGCCACTTTCTCCTAATACCACTGGCGAAAGCAGTGCGTCGCGAGTTGAAACAGTCTTAGCTGACGTGAAGTAAGTGTACCGAATATGCATCACATATCATGCATGTATGCTGAGTATGTGGGCAGTTGTAAGATGCAGCCTAGGTGACGCTGTGATTATGGCTCAAGACGCCCACAGGGCCAAGAATGACTGCATCCTTTGCATACGAGCAATCATTCGCAAGAGCTCTGGGACGCCAAGTCAATCTAGCCAAAGTTGAAGTATAAGGAGGGAAAGCCGAATAACATGCTTGGACCCGATGGAGAACCTACGAAGTGATCTCTAAACCCTGAACCCCAAACCTTGAGCCACGCAATCATGTGGCTGAAGCCTTGGTCTATGTAAGGATCACTCGGCTCATGAAATTTCACCCTGGACAGTGTGCCCCAAAGTGGTCTCAGCTAAATTGAAGGCTGCTCAGTAGCCGGTGGGATGTGCTCTCATTAGACTCATTACTCAATATAGTTGAGTGGGATCCAGCCATGTCCAACTGAGTAGGAACTTTTTGGATTTCCTCATGCATGGTTCCCCAGTGTGCGTTAAGAAATGTAAGAGAGCACAAGTGCCAAGTGGCCAGCGACAGAATCTGCTGCCAAGAGAGGCCAGCTTTCGCCAAGTTTTCTGCCGCCAATACCATACCTGGATCTTGAGTTCCCTAAATCTTAGAGGCCTCGCCAAATTGTGCCAGCGCCGCTTTCATCACGCACTTCCGAACTTTCCCAACATAGCTGAGCTTAAAAGCCAACAAAACGCACAGTTCGCAGTACCCTAAACCCCTTTTAACTCATGTCCCAGGTACGTAGCGCAGCGTCTAGGGACAGATGCGGAACAGGGTCCAGGCGATTGATCACTGACATGAGACCCTCCTCCAAGTCCTCTCCTTGGGCACTGTCAGGTGCGCTTTAGGGGATTAGGGCAACGGATCCTTGGATGGTCCCCTTTGTTGTTGGGACTGTGAAGCTGTACAGATCCATGGAAACCGCCAAAGCAGGCATCACAAAGGAATCCACACTCCTCCTTAACACGGACAGGGTGGCTGGTGAGCTGGAGACATGTTGATGCTCGCCGGGAAGTGCTAAGATACAACACGGACGCCAAAGACGTGATCAAGGCGCAAAGCCGCTGAACCCTGGGGAATTATATATATACATATGTATATATGTATATATAACTACTATATGTATATAACCCATTATAGTAGTTATATATATATACAGAGGGAGAGAGAGAGAGAGAGAGAGAGAGATATATATATATATACGTATATAATCTCATCCTACCTTACATTGAGACTCCGCGGTAGAGCTTGGCGCAGCAAAGGGTCAAATTCTTGAGTGGCATAGGTTGGTGGTCTAGAGTCTAGAAACTGTGGGCCCTTCTGGGGCGCCAATTGTAGTGGCACGGGGTATTTGGTAAGTGGAAAAAATGGCCCTAGTGTTGGAAAATACCCCATGCAGGCTGAGAACGGATGAGATGTTTTCGGCTGCTACTTGAGCATCTTCTGACGAGCAAGGTTAAGAAACGGCGCTCTCTCCCACAGCCACTTGTCAAGTTGTCAAACAGCACTTCAACGATGATTACAACCAGTTGCGTACCGAATTCCGAGCTTAATGACAAGCAACCTAGCTGGCCACATGTACCCCGGGCAAGACATGTAGTGGGACGTTCATGTAGCAGTTTCTATTTCTGTTCCATTATTCCTGACAGTACCCCTAAAGTTGAAACACCTGAAGCCAAGACTGCTTTCACAACCAAGGCAACACTGCAAGGGACTGGGTTTAGATTCAGGATTTAGGATGTCAAGGTTTCGGGTTTAGGGGTCTCATCCCTACTTCAAACATTAGCATCCCCTCGCCCATCCACTACTGGATACTCCCAAAAGTAGCCCGCGTATATCGTAGGTCATACTCAACACTAGAGCTAGACCCTTTTTAGCACCTGCGGTAAGGATCTTGCTAAAGGATTCCGGGGACCAAGGCAAAATGCAAGATTTCTTTGATCGCTATTACCTGGCTGCGCCCAACTCCTGGCAGCATTTCTCCATTTCCGGTCTTCTTCTTTGATTTCCAGGGAAAAGCCTTCCTCTTTGACTGTCTTTAAACCTGAATCCTATGCAATTCTCATGTTCCCCAGCTTGCTTTGAACTCTCTAGAGCTGCTAAAGGGGCAGGCGACCTTATTGTTGGGAACCCTAAGCGCTACACCCTGAACCGCACACTGAACCTAAACCCTAAATAGTAGTTTCCGTTTTCTTTCCAACGTAATATGCTCCCTAGATAGCCCCAATATAATATGTTCCCCAAATAAAGCCACAACAAAACAGATTCCCTATATAACCCCCAGTGGGATTACATCCTTGGCAGATCAAGACTCGGACCTCCCCTTGGAAGGCCGGCGGCGGTCCAGCTGCGAAGGCAAACACCTTCAGCGGCAGCGTCTCCTCTGCAAAGCATAGGTTTTTTTCTTTTGAAGGAGGATAACGGACTTTTCAATCAGCCTGCTGACCCTTCGGGCCCCTCCAATCCTATCCATCTCAAGCTTCATCCCGGAACATCGCCCTCAAAGCATAGGGTTTGGGGTTTAGGGTTTACCCGCGTAGGGGGAGGTTATGCGGGTCTCGGATCCCATGGCACCGTGGAGTCAGTATCAATTACTGGCTTTGGGGGCCCAGGTATTAGGATTCATGGCAAAACTCAATATCCCGTTTGAGTGATGTCATCCTGCCTGCATGCTCTGATTTATTCTTAACATGTGTCATTTACTTTGCTGTACGTGTCTAAGGTATTGTTACCTAGGGTAGCCCGCTTTGTCAATAACGTGGCAATTTTCCGAAACAGGCGACGCAGCCTAAGACTGTAAGTCTGCGCCTCCCCGCTTTAACCCGGAATCTTGAGGGTTCTGATGTTTCTAGTCTGGCACAGCATTTCAAAGATGAAGGGCCACAACTTGTTTAACGGATTCAGCTCGTCAGTCTATCAGGACATGCACCCTCACCACTCTTGCTAGGGGTTGTCCAACCCATGCAGAAGAAAATGCTGGCCTCTCCAAAGCTCGAATCCTGTATCAAACCCTGCAGTATGAAACCCCGGACAACATTCTAGATGCCCAGAAGCATCTGCAGAATCCTGTTACGACCAGCGCTTCCAATGAAGAGCTTCACCAAAACATAACTGTAGACCCTTTGTCTTCAGAACATGTGTGGGTGTTATATAAATAGGGTAACAAAATATGCACACTGCATCTGCTTTCAGGCGGGTCGCCTTCCCTTCCGCCTGAGCCCTTCAACCCCAAACCCTGAACTCCACACTCCGAACGTGAACAATCTACACCCTAAACCCAGAGAAGACTCTACACCTCAATCTCATAGATCCTAAGCCGTACACCCAACCTCAAAGTCTCACACACCCTCAACCCTCAACCCACCAAACTCCACACCTCAAATTTCATAGGTGATGGCCTCAGCTCGCAGCTTCATCCCCAGAAGCAGGCTCACTGCCCCACCCAGGGAGTGCCCACAGACCTGGGAAACAATCTGGAAGGCGGAAGGGGCTTTAGGGCTTGGGTCATCATAGCAGCAGCAGCACAGCAGTAGTAATAGCAGCAATACAAGCAGTAGCAGCAAGCATTCTGTAGTAGGAGCTACACAGGCAGTAGAACGAGCACTGCGCAACGACTGCATTGCGGACTCGTGCTTTTGGGTGGGGTTCTAGAAGGCCCACTCACAGTCTCAATGGGTTCCATACTATGGAGGGTGCTGAATGTGAACGCTGCCTACCTGCACGGTTTAAGGCGTGTGAAGCTTTTATTTAAGAATGGTGCTGCAGGATTGCACCATGTCACCTGCTGCAACGAGTGCCTCTGGCCTTTTTTAAAGGTGGTAGATTCTCGACTCCGTGGTTTCGTGCTTCTAGGGCTTTACAACTTTGGAGTCTCCAGCCGGTCCTGCGCTCTTGATGGCGGCACATGTTCGTGACCTAAGAGACCTTGCGGCCTTCTGATTTGAACAGCAGAGTATGGGTGCAAGGATGGCACGCCTTGGGCGCCCCTCTTAAGGTGCATGACTTATACCAACAGGATGTCAAGATGAAACACTGCCCACCAACAAAGCAATACGGGTCAATTTGCGCCGACTATCTTCAGCAGAATGGACCCTGGAAGCCCTTGCTTGACAATCACGCTTGCAGACATTTCCATATCTGCCCGCGGACCACAAAGCGCTTGTAGTCCTTTGCATCAATGGCCTTCCTGGTACGGCGCTGAGTTTCGGCAACGAAGGGGAGTTGTCCGCTGTTCTGGGCATATGGGGATGAAAGAACCTATGTTGGGTTGACTTCTCCGGCGCCCGAACTGCACTGATTAGTAGCTTGGCTGAGGTGTTTGCATGTACGAGCCATTTATTGACTGCGCTTAATCCTCTGGCCCCGATGACTACCATTGAGCCTCGTTAGATCACACCTTCTCGCCTAAAGCTAACTTCATGCCGACTGCACGGAGATGGCTGGGGCCCCATATGTTTTCTTGAAAATTATACCTATGACTTTCAAGCAATACCTACAGTGCAGTACTGCCTGCTCTCTGGGAAACCTAGCCAAGAGACATGGTAACCTATGTCAAGATAGCCCTTCATCCTTCTGAGACCAGCAGCATTCTTCTGAACACTACTCACATCCTATTTTCCAGGCCCAGGGGTCCCTTACACATTCCATTCATAATATTACTGCCCTTATCATCGGGACGTCTCTAATTGAGCGGGGGGTCAAAATTCTTATCGGGTTTCTTTGACGGAAAGGAATTTGCTTACGGTGGCTTACGGAACCCAAGGTTTAGCTCATGGCGCTCGCTTTTCTTGAAAAACGCTTACGGCGCTTACGGTTACAACGTCGAGAATCCCAACTCAGAGCTTGGGGCGGCTTACGGCGCAACATGCGAAACGGGTTTGCTTACGGTAGCTTACAAAACCCACACGGTTGCTTACGGCAAGCTCCTTACCGCCACTCGCTAAAGGGTTTCCCACTAGAGGATTTTGGCTCTCATCTTGGCTTCGATACAAACCTTCATCAGAATCTGGGTTGCTGTTAAGGACTTAATTGAAATTACTATATTGGGGAATCCCTGTTATTTACTATATATACCCATTATGGTAACTTAATTTAAGTTCCTTAACAGCAACCCAGGAATAGCTCGCAGAGCTGCAGTACTTCAGGCTCCGCTTCCTCCCAGACAGCGCGGACTGCTCCAGCCATGCCCTCGTGAGCGGAGCCGTGCAGAAACTCACAGTTGTTGCAGGCCAAGTCAGTTGCAATATCATCAATGTTCCTTTGCTGTGGAAAGGAGACCTTGGAAAAAAAGCGAAAAGTCTGAGGTGGGTGAAATTATGATGCCTTAGCTAGCTTTTGCCTTTTAGCAGCTGCTGATCCAGGCCTTCTCTCCAATAGTCTTGTCATGGTATGCTTCTGACAGCCGTCTAATGGAGAGCAAAGACTCGCAGATCCCCGAATGGACAGGATGAGCTCTCCCTCATCCTGGGTTGCTGTTAAGGAACTTAAATTAAGCTACTATATTGGGGAAACCCTATTATTCACTATATATACCGATTAGGGTAACTTAATTTAAGTTCCTTAACAGCAACCCAGCATCTTCGAGTAAAATCCACCAGGGCTTGAATCGATCCGAGGACTTATCATCCTTCAGTCACAGAGAGGATCGCGGTAGGGCTTACGCTGCAAGGCAGACCACTCAGACCCTTGACTTAAACTCCACGAAACTGACATGAGAGCTAAAGAGCCCATAGAGGTGTGTTCCCCCCTGAGCCCAAAACCCTAAACCCTAAAACCCCGAAACACAGAGACTCCAGTTTGAGGTGGGCAAGATTTAGTGTTAGGCAGCGCAACAGGAGCAGCGAAACAGTTTGGCTGCCATCATCACTGCTCATGCACCCTTAGCAATATATGGACTCTTGATGAACCCGTGTGCCCTGTTTGTGATTTCAGAACGTCTTTTGGCGGCACCACTTCGTGTAGAAGAAGGCACAGTTGCGAGAAACCGCAGGGGCAACCTCGAAACCCTCCGAGAACAAAATGCATGCCAAACCTTACGTAGACCCTTAAACCCAAACTCGATCCTCCACAGTCTTGCTGAACTTCCCGTAAGCAAGCACTCGCTCAGTTGGGATCTGCAAGTATCTTGCAGCCGCTACCTGCGCGTCCAAAACATTGAGAGGTCTGCGCAAAACACGAAAGTTACGATTGGCTCGGCCCGAAGTCAAAACTATCCATGCTTGGGCACTTGGTTTGCAGTATCATCCTTGCAGCTACAATTATGAGTCTTGATTGCTCATCTTTTGGCCGACTGTGGTTCAGAGGGCTCCAATGTCGATGGGACGGGTTGGCAATTTGGCTTTGGGTAGCGACAAAAAGAAGGTTCGGCATGAAACGTAGAAAAGAATACCTACGTACATGAAGATAACATAACATAACATAGCAATACATTACATTGGACTACACCACGTTACAATACAACATGTTACATTACAGTATCATATATTCGTACGTACTTACATACGTACATTCATACATACATGCATGCATACCTACATACCTACCTACCTACCTACCTACCTACCCACCCACCCACCTACCTACATACTTGAGAGCAGCGCGGACTAAAGCTGGATCACAGCAAGCGACCCGGTTTTTGTTCTGCATGTTCATCGATGTTAGCCGCGTGTCCCTACAGAACCTACCTACACACTTGAGAGCAGCGCGGACGAAAGCTGGATCACAGCAAGCGACCCGGTTTTTGTTCTGCATGTTCATCGATGTTAGCCTCGTGTCCCCACAGAACCTAATGCTATAGCGGCTTCCATGCCTTCAGTTAATCAGACGTAAAGCAAGCCATCCCTCATGAGCCACCAGACAATCCCACTCTCTGTTGAATTCTGTTCCAGTCTCTTCTCCATGAGTCTCCGTTGTGACAACCCCCTGTATGGCTCTTCTGATGAGCCAGATTCAGATGAATGCCTGTGCATGCCTTTCGGTCATGATGTTGCAGGCTTGCATTGAAAGATAGGCATGACGATGTTCAAGCAGTCTCAGAGTATCAGAGTAGCATTCTGGAAGGCATAGCGGACAGAATGGTCAACCCACACGCTGGTTTCTTCTGGCAAGCAAAATTGTCAGTATGGCTACTACACCTGCTGGACCTGTACTTCACATTGATCTTTAGAGCCGGAGCAAGACCTCGAGCAGGCTTTCGTGTTGTCGACAGCTTGCCCAGAAGAAGCACTTGTAGAGTGGTTGACCCTTTCCCCTCAACTTGAAGACTCTACAGTGCTTCCTCCGAGCAAGCAGTCGACAACACGAAAGCGTGCCAACAATAACAGCTGCTTCCTGGGAGCAAGCTGTCGACAACACGAAACCTTGACAACAAAATCGAGTTCGGCTCCGGTTTTCCAAAATCGGCGTGTCTGTCTAGAAGCAACAATGCCTGCTGTGCTTGCCAGAAGAAATCGGCGTGTGGATTTAGGAGTGCTGTCTTCTATGCCTGCCGGCAAAATCATGACCGAATACCTGGCTCATTCTACTACTATTACTAGTACTACTATTACTACTACAATTACTAGTACTAGTACTAGTACCAGTACTAGTACTAGTACTACTACTACTACTACATTGCTACTAGTATGACGACAATGAGGACAAGATTGTATGGTGCTGCAATTGTCAGAGCTTCCCTCCTTGTCGCGGTTGGCTCCCTCAGGTGGCCAGGCATCGCGCAGCTGTAGAAGTCCCACCAGAGCCAACATGTTGGCGCCGTAGGACGCGACTGCAAGCCGTGTGAGACGCTGGGCCTGCGGCAATAGCCCGTTGCCAAGGAGTTTGTCCCCTAAAATCCCCTTGTAAGAGTTATAGGTTCTGTTTGGCCTTCTTATTGCCCGACTTAGCCTGGGGGGGATCCCTACATGGAGGGAACCATAGAAGCCCGGTATAAGTAGGTGGCTGTGAGCTGTGCAAGACTTATGGGACCTTTGGGCTTCTGGATCAACATCTTGAGGCAGCTGATCAAAAAAAGATAACATACCATGACTGCGAGAACCACATACCCTCCCAAACATTTACGGGCAAGCCCCAAAGGGACCTGACAAAAAAGCTCTAGTCCATGAAGAAGCTCCAGCCCCTCTAAATAGAACTACTTTGTGGGCTTCCATATTAGTTCAGGGGATGGGTAACCCAGTAACCACGTCGCAACCTCAGTCAACTTCTGCAGGTCACAGATGAGGGGTACAGCATCCGATGGGAGATCAAAGCCAGAGCCCTGCAGGCACTTCAGGCGCCCAACCGCGAAAAGATGCAGTAGCAGCGCTCCTGAAGCCAGGCGGCTAACCGTTATGGTACCCAATAATATGGGGTTTAGGGCCCTATAATGGAGAATCAAATGGAAAAGAACATGGAAAATGAAATGGAAACTGGGATTATATAGGGGTTATTTGAGGCTCATTTCCCTACCACACCTGTACAACAATAGATACTGCCCCCTAGATCTCCACACGCGTTGTATGAATAATGCTTCTACCCCGTGGTGGCCCCAGGGTCCGTCAAGGTAGAAGAGGGCTTCTGTGCCCAGTAGGGCTTGTTTGCTGGGTTGCTGTTGAGGAACTTAAAATAAGTTACCATAATGGGTATGTATAGTAATTCATGTGGTTTCCCCAATATAGTCATTGAAATTAAGTTTCTTGACAGCAACCCAGTTTGTGTGGAGGTGCGTGGGTGCATTTCGCATTGCTCTGCTGTCAGAGGGAGAAGGCAGGGTCCTTGTAGCGGAGTGGGTCTCTGTGACCATGTTATTGCTATATTACCTCCTGTGCTATCATATTATCTTACTACTCAATTTTCACTATATTACTACTATGTTACTATTCTACTACTATCTGACTACTACGGCGTACATTTTCACTGTATTACTACTCTATTGCTAAACTGTTTTGTGTTGGTGTGCTAACACATCTCGGTGTCTGTTTGTCTGCTAGTATGCTTGTGTATGTGCTTTGGTGATTACGTTTGCTGATTGTCTTGGTTTATATATGCATATACATATGTATGTATATATAACCTTGTTGACATCATTGAGACAGGGGTTTCAACCATGTCCCAGCAACAACAACTATCAAGGTGCTTATGCTGAGATCGCACCAGCAGCTGAAACATCTGTAGCAGAGCTGGTGCAAAGGCCTAACAATAATATGACAAGGTCATTGAACGCCGTATTATTAGTGTACTAAGCGCTTACAACAAACAGGTTCGTGCGGTCTTCTCTAGTTGTAAGTTCTAGACAGACATGAAACCATTACAGTGGTGGAAGTGCTGGGAGCAGGCCATACACGTGATTCTGGGGATCGTTGGGGATCGTAGGAGCATGAATCTCTATCCTTAAGTTTCATTTTGTGGGCACCTTCTTCATGCGGCTGTTACAGGAATGTTGGGAGCCTAAGCAGGCAGGTGGCTACATATCACGCAGAAGAAGCATCCTGCATGCGTTGAAACATGTCACAGTCTTTGCAAAGGAACCACAAAAAGATGATCCCCATGTAACCAGAAAACCGCCTGCCTAGAAGGACCTAGTTCTGAGGTAGCGTCAAGATTCCAGTCGGTGCAGCCCCCTCTGTCTTGCCGGTTTCCAGGGTGCGAAGGTCTTGAAGCTCAGTTTGTAGAAGGTCCCATACCTCTTCAAAGACTTACTCTTCACACGAATTCGTGCAGCTTGAGGTCATACTGGGGTTATATAGGGATTAAGGAAAAGAACATGGAAACTACTATATAGTATATTGGGGTAATATTGGGGGTAATGAAAAAGAAAATGGAAACTAGCTGTATAGTATATATGGGGGGCTTGCTGTTGCACAGCCACCACAATTGCTACTATCAAAGCCTGATACGTTGTCTACTTGCGCTTCATGTACTCAAGACCTGCTGCCATGACCACTGGCTTTCTGAGTAGTTTTAAGAGTGCTCATTACGATAAGAACGCATGTTACAGTATCTTTCGCAAACGCACTTACACTTTTTTGTTTGCCTTTCTATTCCGGCCATTCCTGTATTGGGTTTCTGGCTGCGCTGCAACTTTCCCACCTCTGTCGATATTCTAACATGTGCGTCGTCATCTCATTATCCTTGCTATCAACCGATACTGCAGCGCTAGCCCTGACATTTCTGATTGCCTTTCATGCCAAAGCCCAGAACGCCCGCTACAACCCTTGACCCTAAGCCCTAACCCCTATGTCGTAAGCCCGAATCCCCTACCAACCTTACCCCGTACCCTGGCAGATCGCCTTTGACACCGTCTCGGCCAGATTTCCCAGCGCTGGGTCAAGGCGACGCAGAACGCCGATCACTTGTGGCAAGGACGGCTGCCTGTGCGTTCGGGCTTCGTAATCACAGGCTGCTGGTATGGGTCTTTCATATCTTGGGGTCCTGATATACCCAAGAAGTCGTAGATGATATTCTACATTACTAGGGCCCTTCCCCCTGAAAGAGACTGAGGTCGGAGCCCCATACTTCTAACCCCGGAGCCTGTCAATTTGGGTTTAGGGTTTCGGGTCCAGCACCTTGTGGAGCGTTGCAAAACAAAATCTAGAGACCATGAGGATACGTGTTTGTGTGCGGTCTGCGCCTCCCCCAAAGATCTTAGGTAAGGAGGCCATGCCGCAATGCGTAGCGACATGCTAGGAGCATGTTATTCATAGTTGAAGTTCAGGTTGCAGATCCTTGACTCACGGAGGTACTGATTCATATTCAGCAGAGTTGCGCACTTCCAAGATGAAGCACCCATACCCTCTGCAGCAGCTCTGTTACTGATCCTAGGCGGCTATCGAACCCATGGACCAAGCACGGCTATAATCCATGGTTAGTGGGACCTACACATGCTGCTGAACTACTCCTCCGCCAAGCCTGCTACCTTCATTTTGAGAACATATTTTGCTTAGAGTTTTGATCTGAGAGTTCGAGCTATGTGCCGGCTTCAGCCCCCAGGTTCTAGCAAGGTTTTTTTGAAGAGCTTCTTGTGACCAGGTGCATTGGCAGCTTGGGAAGCACAAGCCGTCTTCTTGATTTCATCCTCTTCCGCCATACTGCGCCCGCGGCTACGCCGACCGCCAGAAACCCAGCAATAATTGCAGGCCGAGTTGGAATCGATGACGGCAAGGCAGCGGGCGCTAAGCGACTTCTTTCGCCTCATAAGCTTTTACGCGTGGCAGCAGAGTTCAAGCTATGTGGTCCAATTCGCCCTGCCAACCTTTCGACGCTCTCTGCTGACACTACCGTCTTCAATGCGAATGCTTGCGTGATGCGGCCAGAGTGGCTACGGAGTCTTTGCCGGCATGGCTGACCAGCAAACGTGGCTTTGCACGTCACTGGTAACATCATCTTCCCAACGAGTGCTTGGCTGACGGTGCGATGGCCTTGTGCAGTTTGCCAGTCTACAGCAGTTACAAGGTTCATGGATTTATGGTGCTTTTGAACGTCAGCGTTGTGATCGATGGATTATATCGCTTCGTTGGGCTCTTGCTCTGAGACTTGAATTTACAGCTAGCTTCTTGGTCTTCTGTGAGCTGCAAAGCTGCGCCAACACGTCAATGTGAACGTGTGAAGTTACAGAAGATGTGTCGACACCGTGTCCAGGGTGAAGTCATTCTTCTAGAATATTCTAGAACAATTGCACCTCAAGCTTTGCACAGTTTCCCCCGAAGTTCTAAACGTCCGCGCCTGGTGTGCCGCTAAGCAAAGGGAGCTTTTGGCGACGGCGGTGTCCAGGAGACAAATTCTACTAAGCCTGAGAAGGCCTTCAAGATTCCCTAAACCCTAAACCCTAAATAGTAGTTTCCATTCTATTTTCCACTATCCCAATATTACCCCAATATCCCTTGACCAATATCCATTGGATCCCTTTAAGCCAGTCGGAGCTACACCTCTGTTTTTGTTTGCCACAAGACTATGGAGCAAATGCAAGGCCAGGATGGAAAAGGCCTGCAGGACAAGCTCATGCTTGCAAGGGCGATTAAAAAGAAACCTGTACGGCTATAAGCCTATTGTCAGACAACAAAATTGATGCAAGGGGTTGTTACATAGGCATACTATGGTGATAAAGGACCCAACAGAGGAGAGGAACATGGAAAATAACATGGACAATTACTTGGAAACTGGGGTCATACAGTGGCACGAGAGAGGCTTCTTTTTGGGTTTGGCAGCGAGCGCCATTGATCACAGCAGTCCAAGAGAGGGAAGGGCGGTTTCCGAACATGACGGGTCCCTTTTTTGGGATCCCTATAATAAAGATCGTAACAGTCTTGGGGCCTATATCGGGGTCCGCAAATGTATGGAAACCACCACATTTCGCCAGGACTCACGACAGCCCAGGAACAGATCCTGCTGGCAGAGTATGGATATGGGTATTGGTCAGGATGAGGCTATAGATGCCAGCCCAGATGCCAGGTTCCTTTACCTATCATCAACTTCGGCAGGTATCTAGGGGCCACAGTTGATCTCGCCACTCTTCAACAGGGCAGCCTGCTGATCAACATTTGCGTGCACATGTAAGGCATCCAGGAACCTCGAAGAAAGCTTGCAGCCTATGTTCACATCTAGTGACTTCTTCGTTCTTGGTAGGGAATAGGGGAGGATAATTCCTATATACTATTTTCCCATATTCCCTACCAGGAACCAGTAAGATGAGTCTAATGTAAGATCATGTCTCCGGACTAAGCCCACAGGGCTTGTCAGCCACTCCTTCCCAGACCTCCAATGCAACTTAATCCCGGTGTAATAGAGCACTAAACAGCCCTGTGCATCCCCATAAGGTCCCCAAGCAAAGCTAGCTAACACCCGAGGGGGCCATGCGTGTTGAGGGCCATCTTGGTGAAATTCATAGACTTCTGTAGCTATGCCCATGGAATAGATCCATTCTATGCCGGGTTCAGTCAGCAGCCCATGAAACTCCAAACCACCGCGGGAACTCCAACCCACCACCCTCTAAAACAAATCCACCACACCAGGCAGAGGAATCCATTGATGTTTGAAGGGGTCTTCTGTGCTTGGTGTCTCGTGGAGACCTACCTAAGCATGGCCAACATATGCCATCCAGAAAGCCTTGTTCTGAAGTTTTCCAATGGTAGCAACGCTCATCGTCGCTGAAACACTACTCGGGGGGGGGGGGAGGGGGTAGGTAAAAGATGCCAATGCAAACCTCTGCTGAAGCTTGAGCCCCTCAAACCTAAACCCAAACTCCAAGTCCCAGACCCTAAATCCCATACATCCCAGAATCCCAACCTTAAGGCGGGGGGACTGAAGGACCACTTCTGAATGGATCCATAAAGGGATTCGAATGCCCTGGACTACCCCCAAGCCCAATGGCAAGGACCTAGACATTTTAACAGCAGGACAGCAGGAACAGGTCGACCGGTAGAGATCGAGATTTCCGCTGATGTATGCTCCTCCTTAGGACCCTATAGTCCCCTTAAGTAGATAGACTATGGGGTATACCCTACAGGTCCAAAAGAA